GATATTTACTCACTTTAGTTTATTCATGATGTAGATGAGTTTGCTTCTTCATCAGAGCAGATCGGAGAAATTTTGCTTTTAATTGAGCAATTTAGCACTTACTCACCAATGGATCCTCTGCAGTAAATGGGTGCCGTCAGAATGAGTGTTCAAATAGCTGATAAAAACATCACAATAATCCACAAGTAATCCACCCCAGTCCAGTTTATTAATTAATTAATTCCTTGTGAAGTGAAAATCTATAGGTTTGTAAGAAACAAATACATAAGTTTTAACTTTAAACTGTTGCTTCGTGTCAAAAATATGAGTCCATAATCCATAATAATGGTTCATCAAGAAAAAAAAAGAGTCCATCCTCTGTTGTCCTCTCATATCAAAATCCACTGACATATCTGTTTTGGACGGTTTTTGCTTGTAAACGGTGCTTTACTTGAGGATATTTCTCTCCTGATTCAGATGAGACGACTTTTTCACTGGAGAAAGCAATGTTATAGCCAGATGCAACATTTAAAAAACAGTTAAAATGTCTTGAATTAGTTTAGAACAAGCTTTTCACTCCACAAGATGTTAATTGTTGGACTGGGCTGTGTGGATTATTGTGATGTTTTTATCAGCTGTTTGGACTCTCATTCTGACGGCACCCATTCACTGCAGAGGATCCATTGGTGAGCAAGTGATGTAATGCTAAATTTCTCCAAATCTATTATGCTGAAGAAACAAATTCATCTTGGATGGCCTGAGGGTGAGTACATTTTCAGCAAATTTTCATTTTTGGGTGAACTATAATACTATTACTATTGGGTGAACTAGTAAAACTACAAAAATGAGTACCTCACATGGATTTATTTAACAATAGAGCTTCTTTTTTTAACTTTCTGATATATGTGCATTCACAGACCAAGACGTAATTGGCATGTTAGCATTTTTGCATGAAAATGTCTAACCATATACTTGTTTGTTCTGGTGATTATAGGAAAGAAAGAAAAATGCGGATTGAGCTGCTGCAGTGTGTCTGGGGGAGAATGACATAAATGGATTATCTTGTGTTTTGGTACAAGCAAAGTGCAAAGAGGGGGTGTAGAAGAAACCATTTCTGTCCTTCCAGTGTGTATATAGCAAGATGAATATGAAGTTGTATAACTGCTCTTAAATATGAGTATAATTTGCTTCTCTCTCAAACTTAAGTACATTTCAGACAGTTTTGCATGTTATTTTAGTGATTATTATTTAATGAGTGCTGCTAAAGGTGTCATTTTACTGTGAGACATGAGATATTCTTACATTTTGATATATTGCATAATAATTTTGCATTTTTTTCTTATAGTTGTTCAGTCTCTTTGTTTATATATATATACATATATATATCCTACAGTAAACCTTTTTGAGCCTTTAGGCTGCAGATGAAAGCTCTTTACTCTTGACCGTCACGTGCTGATATCATTCAAAGCACGTTTGGAAGAAAAAAAAGAGTTAAAATCTGATCAACCTACAGATTTACGTGGCCTACTGACTGATTAAGTTTTAATCTAATGCTTTGGTTCTGTGTGCATATCTCTACATGTTAAATTAGCCTAATATAGATCTTTCAACATGTATAGACTCCATTTAAAAGTGCCTACATAACTCACCATAAGCAAAACTAATTTTCAATTTCATTTTCCTTCAGTTTCTTATTCAGTTCATGTTTATTGAACAGCTTTGCATTTATTAAGCCCACCGGCAACTATAGTTGCCGCAGTTTATAGTTATCATTTCCCTTTTGTAAGTATTTTTCTATATGTTATCCATGTTTTATTTCACAATGGCATGCAAGCAAACAAGCAAATAAAGGATTTAAAAAAAAAAAAAGGTATTCACTTCCTTCCTGTCACATGAGGCTGTCAAGTTCCTACCACTACTTCCAGGAAGCCTGGCGAAGGCAAACCCTCCCAAAGAAATGTAATTTTCATGTTACTAATAAGTATTTTTTGTTGACATATATACTGTATATTTACATAATCATGAAGGTCTCTAGAATCATCCAAACAAAACAAATCTTACAGGAGATCTATAGTTTTTTGTATACGTAGTCAAAAGTCCAAGCGGCAACTATAGTTGTACATATCATGGGGAAATGGGGTATACTGTGTTAATAGGTTAATAAATCAAGGTTATTGGTCTTGTTTAGTGCTTTTTGCTTTCATAATATCCCACCTAAAACATAATTTAACCCTTTACCTGACATCTCTACTGTACAGTAGACCTTAATTTGATAGGGAATAAATCTGTCAAAAGGAGGAGATGAGAGAGCAATCTTTCCACAGCTCTACTGCCCCACTTCTGTGTCTGGACCCTAATTCTTTTTATGACTAGTAGCTAATGATTAAATTATAATGTTAATATTCAGACAAGTAATGAGTTTACATTTACATTATTATATGAAATCACATACTACAGTCAGCCATTTTAGCTATGGGCCTAAAAAAAATGCGTAATTTTCTTTCAGGTATACCTTTTTTATTATACAGATGTAATATTTTCTTTATTCTATTTATTTGTATTTAACTAACACACCTCTAAGAATGAAAATACCTGCATGTTCAATAATAAGTAAATAAATAAACAAACAATCATGGGTGTAGCCTACACATGATAATTATTTGAATTATTGAATATCAAGGACTGTTGTCAGGGTTAATCCATTTGACCTAATCAATATGTGCCTATTCATAAAATATGTGATATTTTACATATTTACATAAATTAAGCTTTAGCGTTAGTTCTGGCAGGTCACGTGAGTCAAGCTTGCATCAGCTGATTCTCAGCTGATCACATCTACCTATAGGAATACGACACCTATCGCGGCATTCCTATATAAGCTGTATTCAGTATTATTCAGCAGCTTTTCAGCTTGCTTCGGAGCAAATTACCCTCCTCCATCCCCAGCTCCACCTTTCGCCAATGTCAGGACTTAGCTTTCTGATATTCCTTGCTAATCAGACTCCTTTATCTTGAATAAAGTGTTACACTTAAATATCATTGAGTACATTAATGATATCTGCCTTGTTCTGTTCTGTTAACCCTGGGGGGTTATTATTGCTGCTCTCCCTGCTCATTCATGACAGGCTGCATGGATGGGCAGGGAGGTTTTTGCCCAGAACAGAACCATACCGCCAAACCAAACTTTATGCTAAGTATCTATCATTTTGACAATAGTGGTCCTGACGGAAAGTATAGTATGCAAATATGTTTATGTAAATTTATAAAACTACTTGTACCTTCACTGCAGTACTCCTTGTAGGCTACTTATACTAAAACTGCGTACGTAAGGGTAAGTTCACCCAAAAATGGAAATTGTGTCATCATTTAGTCACCCTCAAGTTGCAAACCTATGAGATTCTTTCTTCTGTTGAGCACAAAAGAAGATATTTTGCAGAATGTTGGTAACCAAACAGGCAAATGTGTAATTTTCTTTCAGGTATACCTTTTTTATTATATAGATGTAATATTTTCTTCATTCTATTTATTTTTATTTAACTTTTTGAGTTAAAACCCCTGTTAGGTCAACGTAATGGCTGCACTTTGTTCTGCACTATGTTCCACCACTTTAAGACAAATGGATTTGTTGTGTTTTCTTATTTAAGAGATTAAAAGCTAGATGCAACTTTTTGGGGGGTTTGTATCGAATGTTTTTCGAATTTTATGCATGATAATTTGTTTATGAATAAAGATTGATCTGTTGAAAGCAGTTATTTTGAGTCAGATGCCAAAAGCTCTCCTCCTATTCAAATTTGACATTGAAGTGGTGCATACAACATATTTGCCCACTGGCAACTATAGTTGCCACACATTCAAATACGATTTTCAAGAAAAAAAAGGAAAAACCTGGGGAAAATAAATGCTGAACATGTTCACATAGGACACTATTAACATGACTATACTCATGAAACCATTCAGAAAAATTTGGGCACAAATGGGTTACGAAACTGCCTGTGATGATATGCAGCCACAACCATGCACCCCGTGAGTATAAGCTAATTGAATTGTTCTTTTCAGTGTCCAGTTACTGAATACTTGACATGAAGAACATGGTTTATGAAATATGTTATGTATTATATATACACTCCAAAAAGCTTACAATCTCTGCATAAGAAGTTGCGTGGGTGTAGTGGTTGCATTTGTTTATTCCACTTCTCACTCCTGTTGACAAGGCTACTAATAAAGTCAGTCATATTTGCTTTGAACTATAGTGCACATGCTTTTCAAAACGCTCTTAAATGAGATACATAGTGTTTCTAGGTTATCCTCTGTGCAAAATTAATTTCCACGTGACACGTCTCATTCAGCTCCACATCTCTTCACTGCTTCACTACTGCCCTCTTTCCGCCTTGAGATGAGAGGAGATGCTAGGAGATTTTATGTTGCTGTGACCGATCGTTTTCACCTATATTGTGGCTTTAGCACATGACAGACCAAATAGATTTTAATGGTATAGTTGGAGCACTTCCTAGCGCTGAAATATATGTATAGATTTTATTTATTTTTTATTTGTTGGAGGGCGTCGAAGAAATCTCAGGTCACTTTTTGAAAAGTTTGTGTGGGGGGGGGGGAAGTGGTCTTTATTAAAAGAAGAACTTTTAAAATGTCGTACCAAAACACCAAACGTGTTCAAAGCTCCCGTTTAAAACCTACATTCAACATCACAAGCATATCGGTTCCTCTGAACAGGTGCTCGCTCTGCAGGACACACACACCCTTGTGGGGACTCTCCATAGGCGTAATGGTTTTTATACTGTACAGACCGTATATTCTATTGCTCTACACCAACCCTACCCCTAACATGAAACTTTCTGGATTTTTAGATTTTCAAAAAACTTAATTCTGTATGATTTATAAGCTTTTGTACCCGTGGGGACCATAATTTAGGTCCCCACCTTGACACGAGTCCCCATGAGTCTGTGTGTAGTCAGGTTTAAGTCCCCACCAGGATATATAAACCAGTACACACACACACACACACACACACACACACGAGCGATGTGCCCGACAAAACTCTCCACTTGACGAGACACTGGCCCGCTCATCTCATCCCGAGGCGGAGGCTCGTGTAGTCACTCCTGCGGCAGCTCAGCGCCCGTTTCCCGCAGAGACACCTGTGGTCGGTTGCCAGTAATAGCCGTCCGATTGAATCTATAAGACAAACATAATTGTTCAATTAACTTTTCTCCCTCTCTCGATGTTAATGTGGAAAGATAAGACGTTTGACGCACATCTTCTGCGTCACTCTTTGGACTTCTTCTCCGCATTCTGGAGTTTCTCCACGATTTTGCGCTCGTGTCCCGCAGGGTTGGGTCTGTTCGTGTTACAGCTCGCCTCCTTCTTCGTCCTGCCCTTGCGACTAGCGCACTCTGTAGTCAACACAGAAAACAAGTCAGCTACAAGTACGGGTTCAAACGAAGAACTAATTACATGCATTATGAAGAACGTTCATAACGAACGAAACGCTTTAAAAATTAACTCGTGTTGCCAAATCACTACAACTCAAAAACACTTCACTTTAAAAACATTTATAGAGTAGCTTAATAATAGCCTAATAATAATAATAATAAAGCGTTTTAAAAACTTACGATTGACTATTTTAGTCTTTTTAATATAAAATGTTTAATTCAGTGTGTTATTTGTAGTTTTTTTTTGTCTGTTTGTTTCTTTGCTGTTTCTTTGTAACCATTACAAATTACTAGCAAAAATTGTTTTAAATCCTACACCATTTTTTATACTTTTACATCTCTTATTTCTATTACTAAGCAGTTTTGGTTTACTTTTTTCCCGGCATGCTCCCATTTTGCACTGCGTTGTACAAGCACATATTCTTTACTCATTACAATGGAATTTGGCAGAGGTCTGTATGATGACTGATGTGGATATTTTTGTAGTTTACAGTAAGACTCCTGTGGTTCTGTGTTGTTGTAATGACAGAGTGCAAGAGATTCAGTTTTTCTACTGCACTCAAATATTCCACAACGTAGTCTTGTGTACATGAGCGCATGAGCTACGTGAGAAATAAGGGAGGCTAGAGATTACAGAATGTATTTCTTCTTCCAGAGCCATAAACAATACTGAGGGAGCACATGAGTAGAACACATTGTACTACAGTCTGTTTTTCTTTTTTTTCTGTTGCTCTCTAAACATATCACTCTAGTTCTTAATCTAAGTTGATTCAATGTTTTCTCTCATAAAATAAAACCTTTCTTTTCCCTAATCTCTTTAATTTTATGCTCTGTTTTAGTACAAATTCTTCTCTTTTCCTTTCCCTCTTTTGCCTTCACTGTTTGCCTTGGCTCTCAAACTGATATCATGTGAGTGAGGCGTTCTGTACAGTAAATATTTACAAAGTTATTGGCTGAGGCAATATGCATTCAGCTATGAAAACATACCTGATCTCTATGTTTATCTCCATCCTTCTTGCTCAGATCAGGAATATTTTGGCAGATAAACCACACCTTATCGCCATGTGTCTGTTTTGTTTTTCACATGCCCTCACTAGTCTCTTTGTTGAAAATTAACTCCATATTATTTCAACATTCACAGCCTTTGGACACAGTAAAGTTCAAGTCAGATATATGAGGGCTTATTATTACTGTCTGAATGATCTACTGACTTTTTCATTTTAACTTTGACAGTTGCTTTTTTCACCTCATGTGTTTAAACTTGGGTCCTTTTGCTTTCACTATCTCATGATGGTACTTTGCAAAAGTATAAAAACATAAATAGCACCGGCTAAACAAGAAACAATACATTTTAACCACAGAAACCATTAAAACCAATTTACACATAAATGGTTCTTGAAATAAACACTTAATATATAGGGACATTTTTTCTAAACACAAAAATGAATCGAAAAGGCATCTAAATGCACAATAGGTATACAAATTAATGTGACATAATAATATGACAATTATAAAGCAAAAAAAAAATTTGTAATAGCCTATAAAAAAATAAAACAACATTTAAAATCAAGAACAACCCCCAAAATAACATAAATTTATGCACCTAAACTTAACCCTAGATACACCTAACTAGCCAAATATGTAGGTTAGTGTGGTGATAGTGACGATAATGCTAAAGATAACTCAAGATAATCCTATCTTTTGTGGCACATTACATAGGCCTTTCATTATCTTTTAGTGTGTTCTAAATGTCATATAGTGGCAGTTTATTATAATATAAGAGTAGGATATGTTTTAGAAATAGGTGCATCATTTAAACTAGTATTAATGATTTATCTCTCTAAAAGACTGATAGCAAAGTCCCCAACAGTTCTTCCTCAATAAGGCGTTTTGAAAATATGCCATGAGGTTTGTCCCTTCGATATGTCCGTACAAGGCCTAGCTGGAAAGCTATCCAATCAATGCAAAAGGAAAACAAAACAATGAAACAGGTAGACATTTATATAATATACAAAAAATAGTTGATGCTGGGAGGAAGGAGAGTAGCAACTGAAGGGAAGGAAATATCATAACACGCCTTAGAATTGGTCATACTGGACTTAATAGTATAGAGCAGGGGTGGCGAACGTCGGTCCTGGAGAGCCGCAGCCCTGCAGAGTTTTGCTTCAACCCTAATCAAACACACCTGAACGAGCTAATCAAGGTCTGAAGGGTTACTTGAAAGCTACAGGCAGGTGAGATTTTATTAGGGTTGGAGCTGAACTCTGCAGGGCTGCGGCTCTCCCGGACTGGAGGTCGCCACTGCTGGTATAGATTATATAGAATTGGCAAGCACCCAACTGGGGAATGTATACACTGTAGTCAACAAGAAACAGTCGTACGTGTATTACTTCACGTGCAACGTGAATTATTTGCAACAATGAGAGGTATTGCCTTATTCAGTCAATGAAGTAAAATACCATGACTTTTCTTTATCAGGTCTACTAGTGAAAACAGCTAGTAAGATATATGATGATATTATTAAGTTTATAAAAGAAAGTCAATTAAGTAAGATAATTTATTTATTTATTTTTATGCTAGTTTATTTATTTGTTTTGCTTGTTTTTTAGTTTTTTTTCCTCATCCCATGTATATGCAAATAGCTTAATACACTCTCCAGTCCAGTTGGTGGCGGTAATGCACCTATAAGCTGGTTTGCCAACCGCCAATAAAACACAGAAGAAGACGAAGAAGAAGAAGAAGAAGAAGAAGAAGAAGAAGAAGAAGAAGAAGAAGAAGAAGAAGAAGAAGAAGAAGAAGAAGAAGAAGAAGAAGAAGAAGAAGAAGAAGAAGAAGAAGAAGAAGAAGAAGAAGAAGAAGAAGAAAAAGAAATTTTTATAGGACATTTTCAAGGTTTTTGCCAGTTAGCATGGCCCAGTTAGTCCTTGCTGATGCCATATGTGAGATTCTGAGAGCAAAAAAACAATTTTTCCCATTGAAAGCCATTCAAAAGTGTTGTTAAATGTTCTATTCATCAAAGAATCCTGAATAATGGCGGGGGGAAATTCTTTACCATCACAGGAATAGATTCCATTTTGAAATACATTAAAATTGAAAAAAGTTATTTTAGATTGTAATAATATTTCACAATAACTGTAAAACAGTTCTAGTTTTTGATCACAATTCACCCATATATTTTACAAGATTGACTATTTTAGTCTTTTTAATATAAAATGTTTAATTCAGTGTGTTATTTGTAGTTTTTTTTTGTCTGTTTGTTTCTTTGCTGTTTCTTTGTAACCATTACAAATTACTAGCAAAAATTGTTTTAAATCCTACACCATTTTTTATACTTTTACATCTCTTATTTCTATTACTAAGCAGTTTTGGTTTACTTTTTTCCCGGCATGCTCCCATTTTGCACTGCGTTGTACAAGCACATATTCTTTACTCATTACAATGGAATTTGGCAGAGGTCTGTATGATGACTGATGTGGATATTTTTGTAGTTTACAGTAAGACTCCTGTGGTTCTGTGTTGTTGTAATGACAGAGTGCAAGAGTATTATCGCCTCACACTCCAGCCCAGTAGGTGGCGGAATGTGCATCAAAAGCTGGTTTGCCAACCGCCATAAAACATCAGAAGAAGAAGAAGAAGAAGAAGAAGAAAAGGTACTAATGTACGTTAAGGTAAGTGGAACTGTAATAAATAAATGTTTTTCGTTCATAGTTCGTCTACTAATGCATGAGGTGACTCTGGAGAGTGTCGCGGAACTGTGTGTTTGAAGGTGAGACGCTTCTCTTGTTTATCTGTGCGCGGGCAGAGGGTGTGATCTGAGCTCCGTCCAGTCAATGGCGCTCTATTATGTTTATGAATTTAAGCTACATAAATAACACGTAACATGCATTATTATTAGAATTATTGCATTATGACAATATTACTTTAGTTTTGGGCAGTGTTAGTGGTGTCGGTTTAATTGTATTATTTTGATATTTCTATGTCTTCTTGAGGGTTGTTTTACATTTATTCATTAATTTACATTTTAATTTGAGTCTTAATAATTTTGGTTAAAGCTAACCTATATAACTTTTGTTTTTGCAGGTACAATGGCTTTAGTGTCAGCAGACACCAAAATTGCAGAGTTGCTGAATGAGCTGCATCAGCTCATAAAACAAACTCAGGTGAGCAGACTGAGCACTACTCTGTTGTCCCATGCATGATCAGTGTAGTTTGAGTTTATATGCTTTGGGAAAGACCTCCTTTTCGTACACTGAGTGTTTATACCCTAATCTCTCTTAAATACACAGGAAGAGCGATCAAGAAGTGAACACAACCTTCTCAACATCCAGAAAACACATGAAAGGATGCAAACAGAAAATAAGAGTAAGACATTAATTCCTATTGCATTGTTTACAATGAGAATACGTCACATTAATATTAAGTTAATAGTTGTAATAATTAATCACACATTAAGAGAATAAGTAATGTTCAATATTGTCAAACTAGATCTCTCTTATATTTGTGTTTATGATTTTAATTTCTTGTCTGATATCTCTGTTCCACTTTAAATCTACTTATAACTTCTTCAGCTTCTCCATATTATCGGACAAAACTGAGGGGTCTTTACACTACAGCTAAAGCTGATGCTGAGGCTGAATGTGGGTAAGTTGATGTGAAAGTTGATGCATTTTGGCCTCCCTTTGCACCACTTAACATCAATGCAAAGGATGCACCTTGACTTTAAGAAATACTTCAAATACACAAATCAATACTGAAATACACAAGATGATTCACAAAATGATCTGTTCTTGAAATGATTCTTTTCAGTGTTGATTATTTTATTTTCGTCTCAACAAGGAACATCTGGAAGATCTTGAACATCTTGTGGTTGTATAGCCCCATCTTGTGGAACTTTTGTCCAAGGCTCTCAGATGTGTGCTGACTGGAAAAAACAGACTTGTTGAATATTATTAATCCTATCCATCTGTTTCCTAGCAAGCCTTGCGTTTTAAATTATGGGAGGCAGTTCCGGTTTCGGGGACATTCCACTCAAAAAGACTGGAAAAAATCCCTTCAAAACATAGTGTTGC